ACACTCGCTAATTCCGTGGACGACCACATGGTAACAGTGTAACACTTGCTAATTCCGTGGACGACCACATGGTAACAGTGTAACACTTGCTGATTCTGTGGCCAATTGCATGGTAACAGTGTAACACTCGCTAATTCTGTGGCCGACTGCATGGCAACTATGTAACACTTGCTAACACCATGGCAACCATGAAACTTTTTCAAATAGGTTTTCCGGGTATTGGTTTTGTCCGGCCGGGAAAACAAACCACACAAAACCACGCAACTGGGCGCCTTAAAACCACAGACATTCGTCCTCTCTCCGCCCTGGAGACCAGGCGTCTGAGGTCCAGGGGTCCCAGGGCCAATCCCTCCGGAGCCTCCAGGGAGGGTCCCCCTGCCTCCTTTTTCCTGGGGCTCCAGGCGTCCCCGGGCTGGTGGCCGCCTCCCCCCATCTCTGCCTCCCTCCGTCTCCACGTGGCTGCTCCTCTGTGTCTGCGTCTCCTCTTCTGTGTCCGACAAGGACCCTGTCCCTGGAGGGAGGCCCCCCCTGACCCAGGACGGCCTCGTCTCCGAGCCTTCACTCCATCCCGTCTGCAAAGGCCCTGGTTCTGTTCCCAGGTTCCAGGGTTAGGACGTGGACACGGCTTTTGCGGGGGGGGCAAACCCCACTATAAGCAGCCCCCCTTTTGCATCTCAATCCCCAGGGTGGTGCCTGGGTCCCTGACGGATGGTCCCTGCATTTTGTCTTGAAACCAGGCGACTTTTTCCAAGACAGCCTCCCGGAGGCCGACCTCTACATCCTTTCCAGAATCCTCCGCGATTTGCCGGACGACAAGGCCCACGCGTTGCTGAGCCGGATCTCGGGCAGCTGCAAACCAGGTGAGACTGGGTCGCACACTTTCTTTTCATAAAACCGCTGTCTTGTCTCTTTTTTAAAATATATTTTTATTGGTTTCAGAGAGGAAGGGAGAGGGAGAGAGAGAGAAACATTAATGCTGAGAATCATGGACCGGCTGCCTCCTGCACGCCCCCCACTGGGGATCGAGCCCGCAACCCGGGCCTGTGCCCTTGACCGGGAATCGAACCTGGGACCTCCTGGTTCCTAGGTTGACGCTCAACCACACACACACTGCTCAGAGCTCTCACTGACTCCCCACATCCTCAGTGCACGGGAAGCAGACAGACATGCACACGTGCACACACTCACACAGAGAAACACACACACAGAAACACACACGTACATTCGCTGCTCAGAGTTGTCATACCGAGTCCCCACCCTCATCAGTGCACAGGAGGCAGACACCGACACACACATGTGCACACACTTATACACACTCACACACTGTACTTCTTGGAGCCTTCACACCAAGTCCCTCCATCATCAGTGCTCAGGAGGCAGACACAGACACTCTCACACTCGCTCACTGACACACTCACACATCGCTCACTAACACACTCACACACACACACACTCTCATACTCGCTCACTGACATACACACACACTCAAACACACACACACACACACACTCACACACATACACTCACACACACACACTCACACACACTCAAACACACACTCACAAACTCACTCAAACACACACACACACTCTCACACACACACACACTCACACACTCACTCAAACACACACACACTCGCACACACACTCGCACACAC